ATCCTAATTCGCCACTCAGATAATTGCGGGACAAGAGGCAATTATCCTTGGTTGATATACGGATATAACGGTTTCTCAGATATATCAACTAAATTAGAGAATAGGGTCAAAAGTATATATTCGGAGTAAATGCGATACTCGTTTATTAACAATAAGTATGAATTATAAGGAATAAATCGATCTATATTCACTAGCGAACGTGAAATATAACACACATAACACACCGACTCTAGCTGAAACTCCTGCTGTTTATATATCGTTTGAGCGGTCTACTTGATCTATTTTTAGCAGCTACTTCTAATATTCGATTGATAATTGAACTGTATATGGTTGAATAAATCGAAGCATTTCCGTTAGTGAAATTTCACTAACCGTATTACCCAACGTTAAGACAGTGTCCGTACTGCCCATGCTGAAATCCGCAGCTGCGCTGATGTTACCGCCGATTAAATTTGGACTGCGGCACCACTGGAGAAGCGCAGAAATAAGGAGAATACGTCACCGATTGCGGCGCATCACAAGTTACGCAAAATTAAGGAGGAATATACGCCAGAATTAACATTAATTTCCACAATGGACACAGTTGAGTTGTTCTTTAAATTTTGGAAATTACTTGGCTAAGCCTTGTGTCAATATCCGAGTATCCTCTATGGTTAAATTAAGCAAATGTTTTAAATATCAACCTTAATTTATCAAATCAACGCAGAAGTTTCCTGTGTTTATGTTTTTGGTAATCATACCATTGTCGGCTTTCGCCTAAAATACGAATTGAATAAATTGTAATTAACGGGTTTGCACAAACGTTTTGGGGTGACATTTTGCTAACTTCCTTATTAAGTTTAGTCAAGTTCAACGTATTGGGCAGTCACAGGACTGCCGTTATGGCTTGTGCTATGAAAACTTATTATCCAATAGTCGGTTGTGACCAATGTGGCGGGACCACTAAACTTACTAGTACTAATTCCTGCATACTAGTAAACAAACAGTCTATCCTTGTTGTTGTTGTTGTTGTTGTTGTTGTTGTTCTTGTTGTTGTTTGTTGTTGTTGTTGTTGTTGTTGTTTGATCGAATGTTCTAATAGAAAACAAAAATTTTTGTAAGAACCAAGTTCTTAACAAGGAAGTTTGTATGAAGGCGCAAGGTTATCAGATTATCTATGTATCATACTAATTCTATATGAGTTCTTTGTCGCCGATTGATTTTATACAAAAAAAAAAAGACCGTAATCCAAACTGTGAAATGGAACTAGTTTCCATAATAGCGCTAGTGACTGTAGTAATTAAATTATGTGATGCCCTGCTTGTTGAAAAACCGAAGAATGAGACAAGATTAGCAGTAGAAACTTTGAAGATAGGAGATAACTATGTTATTCCTGTCATAGACAATGGTTATTGTTTGTTGGTCGAATGTTCTAATAGAAAAACAAAAAGTTTTTGTAAGATTATCTATCATACTATTCCATATATGACTTTTTTGTCGGATATAAACTTCGATTGGTTATACTGATGAGTGTATATTGCTTCATCAGAACAGTCTCTATGTCGTTGCAACAAAAATCTAACCCTTTTTAACAGGAAACTCGTCTTCCTCATTATTCTGATTTCCATCATCTTCTAGCATGACGTCTATATAAACGTATGTCACATGATAACAAGTATATGCATATTCTGTCTATTTGCATAAAAATCCATCGGTCCTAACAGGTCATACTAATTAATCTAATATTCAATATCTGATATTCGAAAGGTTAAACTGTTGTCTTAATAATTTTATTTAATTGAACAGAATAATGATATTTGTTTGTTACAAATATTCGGATAAAGCTTGATATACCGTATATTTGCGTAACTATCCAATTTGTAAGCGTGAGATCAACACATTCGCAAATAAAGGAATTCTCATTGAATACATTTGAATAAGCATTCGACAGTAAAAATTGTAATACTGACAGCTTTATTTCAGTTTGTTATAATTTGTTGTCGGAAAAAAAAACTTGCTTTATTGTACCGATTGGTGTAGCTTAGCTAACTAACTCATACGCAAATTGTACCTCTATATAATTATTACTTATATACGCAGTCTTTATCTTTATTTTGCAACATTATTTTCCTATACATGCTCTATATTACAATAGAATATTTGTTGGAATTGATAGGCTTTTTGTTGATGATAGAGCAACGTTTAAGTATGATATTGCTGTGATCCAGTTAATACGATATATAGTATAAAGTAAAAGTTAAAAATATGATCCAGTAGTCGACTACTAAACTCTTTACCTATTTTGTTATTATGATTCGCGATTATGGGATATCATGTGCCTCAAGACCATAAATAACATTATCATAGTTTTTCGTATGTATTCTTTTGATGCTCATAAAATGGTAAAGCGGACGCTTAACAATAAACATATTGCTACGTCCTCATCATTAACCGCAAATAAACCGTAAGATTAGAGTATTGCGTTGTCTAGCATGTTATTATCAACCGTAAGCTAATATACTATACTCAGAACGGCATATGCACAACTTTAATGTCCCAACTTTGAAGACCAATCACATTGCGTGTTTAAATACGTGGGGAAAAGTTTTGCGTGTGGACCTTTATTTCCATTACCATATGTGCAACGTTGCAGATAATTTCGCCAACTCTGGAAAGACCTCTCATAGTCGGCTTTTGGGATGGTTTCAGCAACTTCCTGAACAGCTCTTGCCAAATTTTGACCTTATCAAATCTTTTCTCTTTATTCTTTTTTGATTCGAGAGAATAAGAAAAAATTCACAAGTAGCAATGACGGGTGAGGAAGAAGTTTACACTTGTTTGACTCTTCGTGGATTTGAGTCGCATTTCCGTTATTTCCGAGGAGGAAAATAAAGTATTGTTGGTTCTCGCGGCTCATTTTTTTTTCCAATCGTTTTCTATTGCTATGGTTTACAAAAAAAGGCTTCTCGACAATGAGATAATGAATTGGCCTCTACTTTTCCTTCTTCTTTTTTTTTTTTCATTTGTTACATAAAAGAATGCACTTTTTATGATTGTTCCTATTTTTAGTTAAGCTGATACAAAAAAAGAAAAGCTTCTCGACAATGAGATAATGAATTGGCCTCTACTACTTCTTCTTTTTTTTTTTCCATTTGTTACATACAAGAATGCACTTTTTATGATTGTTTCCATTTTTAGTTAAGCTGATACAAAAAAAGAAAAGCTTCTCGACAATGAGATAATGAATTGGCCTCTACTTCTTCTTCTTCTTTTTTTCCATTTATTACATACAAGAATGCACTTTTTATGATTGTTCCCATTTTTAGTTAAGCTGATACAAAAAAAGAAAAGCTTCTCGACAATGAGATAATGAATTGGCCTCTACTTTTTTTTGCATTTGTCACATGAAAGCATGCGCATCTTATGCTATTTCCATTTTTAGTTAAACTGAACTGATACAATCCCGGTTAGAGGCACACACCCCAACGTAATGGCGAGACTCCATATTAATATATAATCTTCCATAATTATCTATATTACAAGAATATTCTATTACACAAAAGATGAATTATTTTTGTAGTACTTGTCATTATATATCTTTTTCCGGATGACTGAATGATACTGATTATCTATATCAGCCAAATACACGTCTTGTATATAAAGTTGAACGTTCCATTTGTAACATTGCAAACAAAATGAAAAAGACTTTACTTCAAGTTTTATTTTTAACATTAATCCTCGGTGGATTCGCCAACATGATCAAAGGCTATAAACGTGCACCTCAGACTTCTGATGATTTTCCTATTAACGATGTAAACATTTATGCCACCACTCTTACTAATCCTGAAGATTGGCCATGTGGGAAATTCTCTTGCGATGATCCGCATATCAATTTACATGTTGACGTTCGAAAGTCTGCAAAGCAAAATTATACTGCACTTTACAATTTTCAGATTTATTCATATAAACAAGCAGGAAAAATCTGTTTTTATGTTTATGAAAATCACGAAGATAAAGTTTATGTTGACGATTTATGTGGTGGTGCCCTAGAAATTTTGGGCGACTTTTGGGGAACATTTTTATTTATTGTGGCGGGACTAGTAGCCATACCAGTATTTACTATCACAACAATATTGGGCATACTTTTTACCTTTATTATCACTACTATAGTGATTATAGTAATCTGAACAAAAATAGAATATTTTTGTAAGGCTTCTTTGTTAATTATATGATTATATGATCCTGGTTTTAAATTATTATGGTTTATTATTATATTATTTATATACGTATGTATTATATAACAATTTTTATTTGCGGAGTTATTTTACAAACAATTGTGTTCGTTATTTGTGTCATTAGTTTTTTTGTTGGTCTTTTTAAAGGCAATGTTTACTAGTTTTTTGTTGTTTATACGTGGAGCGTTCAAAAAGTTTTGGCACAATATTTGTAAAACTTTGTTTACATAATAAATATTAATCTAACTCTGCTATTCCATCATAATACTTCTCTTTAATCTCTTTACATTGTCTCGGCTTTCTACGTTAACTCTGAAAAAAGTGTAATATTCTTTTGATGGCATACAATCAAGATAGATTTTACAGTATAGAGAGGTGTTGAATCATCCCAAACCATTTCCACCAACTCTTTGTTGAATTTTGGAAATAAAAAAAGACACAGAGTCAGATCAGGACTGTAGGAGGGTGAAGAAGCGATATGACTCGTTCCTCTCGAAGATGCTTAGTGATGACTTTTGGCTTGTGGCGCAGCAGTAATAAACATGTGAGGAACCTTCCAGTTGAGATGGAAATGACTTACTAAATACCTTCAGTGCTAATATGAGGGTTATTATTTATAAAATCTTCAATAATATTAATAAAACGGCTTCGCGAGGACGTGTACACGTATTTCCGAGTAATAAGCGACTGTTGCTCGGATGTAAAGCAGAAAAAAAATTGACTTTATATTTCTTGTGCATGTACGCGATGTCGGCAAATATGATTAAAATTATCTCCGGATAAGAAAACACATACCGATATTAATCTATATTCCAAACCACCAACTGCTCGCGGGTTATAGACCTTCTTATTCTTCGATATTGATATGGGTTTTTTGATATTATACTCCTGCCGTCAGACTATATTTCAGAAGCAATACTTTTTTATTACTTTTTTATTACTTTTTAGCGCAAGGATTTTTTCTATTTATCTATAACAAGACATATTAGGAAATACTCGGTATCAAATGTGTTAATATGGTAATGTTATCGTTATGCAAATTTACCTTGATAAAGTAGGTTGAATGCGTTTCCCAATTCTCCCACTACTTCGGATGTATCCTAAGCAAAAAAATAATAAGAGGACGTATAAATTTTAGACAAACCTAATGTACTTTATTGACTACGATATTGAAAGGTGACCATGATTTCTATAGGACTAATAATGGAATTAGAATAATATGATAATAATAAGTCTGTAGGAACCAAGCACTAGAGAATAGTTCATTCGTTCGGATGGTATACCCTAAGCAAAAATAATAATTGTGTCTAATTGGGCATGTTATCTATGGGGGGGGTTTATTCACAAAATAGATGTATTTATATCTTGCTCGTAATAAGTCTGTAAATGCTGAGCGTGATTTTCGGTAGACTTAGTATTATGCTAGCGTCAGGTGACAAACGACAAACTTGTCAATTGAGTTGGATTATTTATACTCGTCTCAACAGTAATCGCTAACCTTCTCAACCTCTTGCACAAGTGTGCAACAGTTTTGTTTTGCTTTCCTGTCTTTATTGGGAAAGCCTTTGAAAATATTAGCCGTTTCAATTAAACTTTGGTGATTTCTACTCTTGGTTCAAAAAGTTGGCAGCCTTAACAAGCTCGCAATTCCCCGACAGTAATCCTGGATACCATTTAACATCAATTACTACTATTTATTCAAATTAATAGCCTATAGTTTTAAGTGTGTCAACTATAACGCGCTTTCTCGATTAAATGTGATCCGTATTTGCTAAGCATGGAGTGAATCGATCAATCGCTTTTATCAATAGAGTGATGAACAATTTACAGTTACCAGGTGAATGTGTGTTTTATGCAGTTTTGTTAAAGGACTGCTCGAAGATGTTTAGGTACAAGTGCGTCTCGATATAACGACACGCTCGGTTCCAACCTAAATGGTCGTTATATAAAAAATGTCCTTGTATCGAGAACTTAACTTTATAACGACAACAAAGCAAGTTCAACCAATTGTCGTTATACAAAAAAAATCAAATTTATTGGATAAATTTGATACGTTAACAACTGTTAAAACTTAAGCGTCATTACAAGAATTAAAAAATCTATCAATCTTCGTTTGTTTTTTTGAATTTATTTCTTGCACTGCTAAGTTTTTTTCTAAACTAGTTAACTCGTTTAGGAAGGATAAACTTCGCTTTGTTGTTGAATATATGCCTTTAATCCCTTTGCATATCTTAGAGCATCCGATGCGCTAATAATAGTGTTTAAAATATCTTCGTCTTCTTCAACGTCACTCCCATCTTCAGCGATTGTTGCGACGATATCTTCATCGGATGGCATATGCCTCGTGTCACACCAACAGCAGAGTCAACTCCGATCTACTCATCGACTGATAACAAATTACTCTCACTAATTCCTAATTTTGGCATAAGTCAACAATTTCAGCATTATCTTCCAACAGCAAATCGTCTATGAAGTTGCCAAAGCTAAATTCTTCTGCATCGTTAATAATTTCAGTTTTATTCCAACAGTCTATGATTGTATTCACTCCAACCTTTTCCCTACAATTTGTATTGCATCAAGAAGTGTGAAATTACTGGGTTGCGTTCGATTAGCACGTGCAGAGTTAACCGGTTAAATTTGATTAATGCAAAACAGCTTGCGATAATGTAACTTATAAATGACCAGATAATACCAGCGTCGCAAGGCTGTATATGTGCTGTGATATTAGGAGGTAAAAAAAGCAATACTACATTGCTTAATTCTTCGTCTTTATTCCACTTATATGATAAAGCATTATCCAGTATCAAGAGATTTCTGTGCATGGAGGCATTTAATTTGCGGAGCCAATGCTGAAATATACTAGTCTGCATCCAAGAATTTTTGCTCCAATAGTAATAAGCGGGCAGACTTGCTTTACTGATTTCTTTTAGAGTACATGGAGTATTAAATTTGGGAATAAACAAGGTGAAAGTTATCATCGCTAGCATTGCACGTAAGCATTACTGTCACACGATTTTTTGTTTTGTCCCGGATAAGCTACTGGTACAATTAGTCGAGCAAAATCTAACGCTTTTTCTTGAATAATAGGACCATTAACCGAGATTCTACATTCAATAGCATTATCGAACCATAATGCCAAAGCGTCTTCGATCTGTGGAAATAATGGTGCGCATCGTCGTTTACATTTGGTTATAACTGTATCGTTTGCCATCTATCGGATTCTAATAGAATTTCAGTGACAGAGGACCGTCCTATTTTGAATTCATTAGCCAGTTGTTGTTGTGTTTAATTGGTGTCGTGGGCTCGCTGGCAGAGTCGTTGTTTTTTTTGAATGCCGGTAAGACTTTTTTTCGAACATGGAGACACCTTTTTGTCAGTCTTACTTCTTTTCGAACGTGGAGACACATAAAGGTCAAGCATTATAAAGATAGATTTTCTGCTTACCTTTTCTGCTTTGTTAATGTCATTAAGATTAATTCTTATGCTTAAGCAAACGAACGAGTATTGTATTAATATTAATGAAAACTGCTTAATAAACAAAAAAGGAGATGTGTGTCACTCAAATTTGCGTACAACGACTGTCTATTAAATGTCCCGATACTTTATTAAGATTTGTCCAATAAACCTTTCCCAAAAAATGTCGTTATACCGTTATAACGAAAATTTCTATATAATGTCGTTACATCGAATAAATTTCATTATATAGATTTTTTGCTCAGTATAACGAGATGTCGTTATATAGCAGTGTCGACGCACATTGTTCTAGCGATTATTACGATATTTGGCAGGCCGTATATTACAGAAGTGCTTGGAATATTCTCTATAAACTAATCACCAAATCTGGTTAGATGACGCAAGCGTTCGTTCATTCTGCAGCAACTTGAACATTACCTTAGAGAGCATCTTAAATAACTTACTAATACGTTATTGAGTCACATGATACCAGTAACTTAATATTAGATTGTTATTTCGGTATTTTGATACCGCATTACAAAGCTTAAACACTCGCCATTCAATATGCATTATAAGAAATTGACAATTTGGGTTTTTATCGGCTAACAAATTTCAGTAAATGTCATTACAATAAGCACCAGAATTTATGTTGACAAGGATTGTATTGTACGTTAATATTAAGGACACAGAATGTGATATTGTACGGATGTAAATTGTGTGTTACCAAATTTCGGCCACAAAGACGTGTTATTTTTACCTGGTTCTCTCGAGTGGAACTAATTGTAACGATCGATCGCTCCACTGCATGTTCGCTAGTATAGATCTTTTTGACAATAATATATGATGTTATAAATCAATGGAGCAAAGTTAGAAAGGATAAAGATGCCTGTTTTTCAGTACTTCTAATAGCGTAGAATAGTGTGAGTGTCAGCAACGAACAGCAATAAAGGTAACACAAAAACCATTGCTAACCCCGGTAACCACAGTACAACCAATTATGTTTATAATACAAACTATTTATAATTATATAAAAATAATAAAACCAACGGTCATTACGCCGTTATTCTCATTCCTACCGGAGCTGCTTGCGATAAACGCCGCTATTAAAAAACTATATCGTAAAGCGTAAATACTCAACTGCCTGTTGGTGACATATCACCACAAAGTTACTTACAACCAAACACACACTATTATTCCCTTCCCAAACTAACTATATCGTCAAGCGTAAATACTAAACGACAAAATGTCGCCCCAGTGGACAGAGACTGTAAGCAAAATACAATACCTACCTGTGCTTATGTTAATACGGCTTTTCCTTCATTCACTTATGACCTAAACTTTACAGGAAGACAACTTGCTAAGAGTCTTAGCACATCAGCATGGCGGAAATTGGTCTCTTATTGCAGAAAGGCTCTGCAAAGCTACTAATATAATGAGGACTGCAAAACAGTGTAAAGATCGGTAAGTGTAGGGAAAACTACTGCACTCTATGGTATTGTACACAGCGTACGTATGCTGGAACTAATAGCTATTTACTGGTTGTTTTTCTAGTTTTGCGAGAATATAACAATAGCTCGCCCTATATTATCATGTATTAAACATAGACGTCATATAAACTCATGTATAAATTATCAATATTAATAAAGACTTAGCATATATATTCTGATACATTTAAAAGTTTTGATGTTGTGTATATATATTGTGCAAGAGATGAGAACATGGAGCAAAGACTACAAACTAAAGCACGCTGGCCGGTCTTGGGAGGGTTTCCCGACAATCACTTCACCGACAATCATTTCCCCGACCCACTCACTTCACCCCAACGATCATTCCCTACAATCATTTTCGAAGTTATCTTTTGTCGATAGTAAAAATAAATCTGGTGGGCAAAGTAGGCGTTTTGAAAACATTAACGGATCGATCATTACAGATTGACAAACGTTCGACAGATGATACTGTAAATAATAAACAGCGACGGGCGATGAGAAATAATTGTCAGGGAAATGATTGTTGGGGAAACAAACTGTCGGGGAAATGAGAAATAAACCGGACCCTACGTCAAGCGCTTGAATAAGTAAGTGTTCACATTAAATGCTTCTAAAATCGATCCTTGTAAATACTTCGAATAAAACATCTTGCATATCAAAGAGCAGGCGGTTGTTAGTCAGTTCTATAAATGACAAAAAAAAAAAAAAAAAAAAAAAAAAGAACATAGACCTACGATGATTTGACCATGTCTGATAATTTAATTGCGCCATATGATATCGTTAATTGTTTGTTACTTATCTGCCATCCATGACAAACTCTGGCGGATTTATACAGACTCTTGATTAATTGTAGATGTGTTAGTCATAGAAACATCTTAATCGCAAACAAATTCTTATTGCGAAGTACAGTCTAACCTTATAATGAAGTCAACGGGACGGGGGGTTTTTCTTCACTGTATCGAAAATTTTCAATATAGTCAAGTACTGCTTTTGTATCAGAGGAATTTTTCACCAAGTGCCATATCACTGTATCGAGTCTTCATTATATCGAGATTAGACTGTACCTATATTGTCATTTTATTTCAAAGATAAAAGTGTCAATAGTAGCATTGTACACCCGACAGTCGTTCTCACCTGGTAAGTTTGCAAATTCCGTTTGATTATGAGTAGAATAAGTTACAATTCGTTAGGTTAAAATCAGACACTCACTTTTGCACAAGTTCTACTAGTATTGCGTAAAGTAAGAAGCAGTTCTGAGCTGATATGTATCTGAATATTTGTGTTATTTTATTAACTGCAATATTGTGTTGTGAGTAGAAAAAGTTAACGTATCAACCGACAAAATAGAGAAGCATACTTACTATATTTAGTAATAGCTTGGATAAGAGGCTGTTGTAAATGAAAATTTCGGTAATTGGTAAAGTATTGTAAACAGAGACGGGTGCTGTCGAGTGTCTCTTGCGAAACGATAAATAAAAAGGTTCATTTCACCGACAATCGTTTCCCCGGCAGTCATTATTTATATGTAGTAATGCATTTATCGATAAGCATCAACAGCTTATTCGATGGTAACGTCTATTTGAATAACGATAACTGTGTTGTACCTCAGTTCGGGACTTGTCTTAGTTCTGGACTGAGATGACTGAATTCTGGACCGAGACAACGGGTTCCGGACTGAGATGACTGAGTTCTAGACTAAGATGGTCCCGAACTGAGGTATAACAACTGTATGCAAGGGAAATACCGTATTTCTCTGACTAAAGTACACCCCTCCCTCCCTTCAGCAGTATTTTTTAAAAGACCCGGGCACTATTCTCGAAGAAATAAATGTATTTGTTTATAATACCCCCGGATTGGAAGTACCCATTGCAATATTAATATATAAGGTGCTTGAGGGAAGTCTACTATATATTCTCATACATAATATCCTTCCCATAAACATCTCCATCAATGCCACTAGTCACATCAAGCACATTATTCCCCTCCCTTCCTTACATCAACCCCCCCCGAATTATACTAAAATATTAAAATACCCGAGGTACTTTAGTCAGAGAAATACGGTAATTGTCAAAATAATTGGAAATGACTGTCGAGGAAATGATTGTCGGGGACCCGTAAATAATGGTACATTAGCTTAAACTCACAAGGTTGGAATGTAGCCGTGTGCAGGCAGTACCAATCTGCGGGATAAGTTAGTGTAATATTAATATTGCTTTTTTCGCATTTCCAGTAACTACCCAAATCGAGACTGCATATAACAAAGGTGGTACATGAGAAAGTCATCCACGAACCTTCCTTTCCTGGATTTTTGTCGTTTTTGCAGTCCACATTTCTAATGCCTCTTTTGCCTTTCGTAATGATTGTCCATTTCTTCTTTTCAAGTTTGTAGTCTCAGTTACTGTTTACTTTGTCCAACTGTCGTTTTGTCACGGGATCTGAATTTGATGACAGAATAAACCTCCCTGTGTCACGGCGGCTTTTTGTCCAACATAAAATCGGAGTTCGGAGTATTGGCTCGATGCTTTGAAATCTCAAACACTTACTCCATTCTAAAGCAACCCAACATTACAAACAGGCATGTTTGGACGTAATACGGTATATTGGATGTCGCATACAATATGTTCTGTGATATCGGTCTAACATGAATGTATATGTTTACGGACATTATCAAACCTTGCCTTATGCCTTAGCACCGGAGGCTTAGAACTGCGCTTACTCCGTTTCCCGTACTGTCTCGTCAATTATGCAGGGTAGTTGTTAAGCGGACATGTTAATGGTTATCTGGAAAACGTTTATTTATTCAGTGGTTGTCTCATTCAACTTGACTATTGTTTGGTAGATAACTATTTGACATATTTCTATCAACACATCTTTAACGGAACAACTACTTTAATGAAAATGACAACAGTCTATTATCACATCAAACCCAATCTGCAGATATATATACAATTTGGTGCAACACTTAATATAAACTAATAGAGACAATGTATGCATTTGCGTAGCTATCATTTTATCCCAGGCCCTTCTTTCTTTCCCCTAAAATGCTGAAATGTACAATGTAGACCAGTTACACGTTCGTTCTTTCGGTAATATTTTGCTATTTTTAATCAACTGTACGCATTAGAACAAGAAATCTTGTAACATTTACTACATAGTACTATCTCTGGCAATTTTTAATCGTTGCTGATGTTGAGCGATAAACAAGGTGCTGTGAATTTAATGCTAGTGGATGAATGTTTTTCGAACAAAGATGATACTGTGCGGCCCCCTTGTCGATGTTGTGGAAGGATGAGCATGCCGTCAAGATTGAATAAAATAATGGACGTGAATGGTTTAAGGTAAGCAATAAGTAAGACAATGTGTTGTATTATGAATCATTTCTCGTTGCACAATTAATAAAAAAAAACTTTTTTCGCGCACTGTATATGCGTATAAATATATTCTTAACAGACTTGTCATATTTATTTCGCAAGAAATGCCAATTCTCAACATTTCCACTGAAATATTTTGACCACCAGGCTTGATGTCACTGATGGTCCGTTAACGTACGTAGAATGTGAAATCATCAATATAAAATCTAATGTTACAGTCAATCTTTATACACAAGAAAGTTTTTACTGAAAACAGAATGACGATTCATTCGAACTCCGCGATGCCCTTTACCGCTGATATACCATACACAGGCAGCTAGAACTAGAATTACTTGCTAGCGGATTTGAACATTTCGAGAAAGACATCAAAGAATGAGCTGGACGCGATATATGTGGCTACTTAAAAAGCTCCGACGTAACCATCTTCGTCTTGTATTAGTAAAACGATTATATAAAGATTAACTTTAACAAGTAACTTACGCTCTTGCTAACTATTGGAAAAAGTAAATAACATCCGAGTGTTTAGGACCACTTTGTACAGTATTCAAGTTGATCAGACTGAGCGGGCGAGTGTTGTATGAAGCGGCCTTTTGAATAGACGGCATGAAACGTTGGTTTCTTCTACCGGGAAGTCTCGACCAATTTTTATGTTGGTAACCTTATTTATGATAATGCGAACATTATAATTTTATTAGCTTCAGTCCGACGAATAGAACAATACAACAATACATTATATTATCTCCTTTTAATCAAACTGTAGACTTGGGGGGGTTCATTCGAATTCATATTAAAAGGCTTTCGTGTTCAATAGCAATCGCTATCCGACAAAAGGAATGGGTTCGATTTTGTTAATTCGTTATGATCCAACTTTTTCTCAAATGATGAACGTACCCAAAGGCCTGGCCTGGATGTTTACAATCACAAAAGAGCCGCGAGTCCTACTATGGCGAGTCCTATCGCGGCGAGTCCTATTATGGCGAGACCAGCTGCGCTAAGACCAGCTGCGCCGAGACCAGCTGCGCCGATGCTCTGCATTATAGCGCAAGCACTTCCCGCTGCCACAAATCCGCCATAAGAACTCATAAAAGCTGCTGCTGTCGAACCGGCCGTGATCCCCGCAGCTGTAAATCCAACCATAGTTATGACAGCCGGGATAGCTACTAGTGCAACTGCCCCAGCGGTGGTAAGGAGTCCAGTACAAAGGGACTACGAATGACAATGTGTATTAAAGGTTTGCGCTCAAAGTCACATTCAATATAAAACCATACCAATAGTATCATTCTCTTAGAGCGTTTGTTAAAAGGTTGAACACGAAAGAAAATACCAATACGCCTTATAAATGTTGTTTCCTTGCAGATCAAGGACTTTTTAGCTCAAAGTAAACAGTGATTCTCTATGACGAAAGAACCTGCCAAATATGACAATCATTACTACATATCATTTATGTTTAACGTCACCATATAGTAATCTTATGATAAATGATATCCATATTATTGTTGCGGTCGGTGTATTATAATGATTAGGTAGGTGTGTTCACCGACGGGGAAATTTAACTCTTAGATCGCCACCCTTACTATTTTGTCGATTATGACTGAACTAAATTTATAAGTGGCTTTTTTGTTTGCGCGCTTTCCTGACTCCCTAAACGGAGTAAAATCTATTAAATAAGGGTTACCTATAGCAATATCGTAACAACAACAATAATGCCACAGAATCGAAGGGGAATTTATATAAATTTAAACAGGGCGTTCTTCGATTTAGTATTTGACTAGTCGGGGTGTCTCGTCACTTCTACTTAATTGTAACTAATTAAACAATAAACGGGAATCGATGTTGAATATTAATTATGACTCGCTTGCACTCTTTAAAGGTGTTCTTGCTCAACGGATATATCGCTAACCGAAGTATCTGCGAATAACCTGTAAGCTTAGCTATCTCAGGTATCAATCCGGATCAATAATTTAATATTTCAACGACGATAATTGAAAGGTAATGATATGAAAGGATAATTTATGATTTAGTATCAAAAGGATTCGTAAATATTTTATTTCCTTGGATAAGATCAAATCCGCGGATTAATATTATAACATGAACAACACTTGTAACCGAACAACATGATGAGAGAAGCGCTACTTTTATAAGGCCTGCCACCGAAAATTGAAACGTTGAAAATCCTGTTGTTTGTACCCTGTACCGCCATCAATTTTTGAAACGTTTAAAAATTCCTATATACGAAATCCTAGTGTGCCGATACTAAAATTAACTAACTGCGGGTACGACTGCGGAGGAAGATTTTGTCACCTGACTAATACTAATTGATCAAAAAAGTCATTGACCTGCGCGGAGTTATAAGACCTCGTCTGTTACCATCGAATAATATTATGGCTTTGGCAATTGATTGCTTACCTATTAAGATTCAATAGATGTCATGGATGAACATTTCTTCGTCTAAGGCAGACGGATCCAGAATTCAATAAAAAAAGGGGGGTCGATTTTGTTAATTTGTTATGATTCAAATGATGAACGTATCCAAAGGTCTGGCCTAAATGTTTACAATCGCAAAAGAGATGCATGGAATATGCCGATGCAAGCATGGAGTAAATTTATTTAATACAATTATGCTAATACTAAATTATAACAGACTCATAATAAAGGTAAAAAGTATGCCTAATATTGTAAACAAAAATGTTCGCCCAAAATGTTTAGGGCACTACCACATGAATCGTCAACATAAACTTATCTTTGTGATTTTCATAAACATAAGAACATATTTTTCCCGCTTGTTTATACGCATAAAACTGAAAATTGTAAAGCGTAGTATAATTCTGTTTCGAACGTCAACATGTAAATTGATATGCAAGAGAATTTCCCCACATCCCATGTTCTTCGTTTACAAGAAAGCTCCCTTGCCCGTTGCTCGTAGGTTAATATTCTTCTCTACAAGCCAAAAACAAAGAGGCCCACGGACAATAATGCCTTCACTGCTGCGCCGAGTTTTGCTGCGCCGAATCCTGCTGCGCCGATGCTCTGCAAAACTGCGCAAGCACTTCCTGCTCCCACAAATCCGCCATAAGAACTCATGAAAGCTGCTGCCGTCGAACCGGCTGTGATCCCCGCAGCTTTAAATCCAAGTATAGCTATGACCTTAGCAAGTAATCCGGTACAAAGGGACTATGAATGACAATATGTATTAAAGGTTTGCGCTCAAAAGTCACATTCAGCAATATGAAACCATACCAATAGTATCATGACTTTATCGATAGCCTTTACGTTGTTAGAGCGTTTGTTAAATAGCCTTTACGTGCTAGTACTAGAGCGTTTGTTAAATAGCCTTTACGTTTGTTAAATCCTTTACGTTTGTTAAATCGTTTGTGCAAGCTAAAAAGTTGAACATGAAAGAACATACCAATACGCCTTATAAAAGTTGTTTCCTTGCAGATCAAGGACTTTTTAGCTCAACAGTGCCATTTCTATGACGAAAGAACCTGCCAAATATTACAATCATATCATTTATGTTTAACGTCACTTGCATAAACCACTGTTGATCAAAAAAGTCGTTGATCTGCGCGGAGTTATAAAGACCGTAATTTTCAGATTACCTCCTCTGTTACCATCCCATCAAATATTATTATTATGGCTTTCAGAAACATTAACACCACGCTAGTCTCAACAGAAAAAGAAATCTGGAAGAAAATGTCAACCATAGTTAGTATAACTAGTTTGCATGATTTCATCGTGAGATTCAACTTGAAGACTTTGAATACAAATGTTTGTTTGTTCGTAGTCGTTTCCTCCAATTCACACTGAAGTCGCAATCGATACTCTGCAAAGAGTTAATACCAAACTAGTCTCAGCAGGGAGGGAAATACAAGAGAAAGTGTCAACTATGGTTAGTCTCACTACTTAATATATCATTATATGAGCTTTAAATTGAATACTGACTTTCAACGATATAAACTCTTGTTATTTGTAGCCACTTCTTCCTAAAGTTGCTGTCGCTACGATTGTCGGTGCGGTTGCAGCACCAATAGTTGTTCCAGCTGCGGTAACTATGCTTGGATTTACAAGTGCGGGGATCACGGCCGGTTCGACGGCAGCTGGTTTTATGAGTTCTTATGGCGGACTTGTGACAGCTGGAAGTGCTTGCGCTACAATGCAGAGCATCGGCGCAGTTGGCCTGGGTGTAAAGGGGATAGCGATATCGTCTACGGCTGGTGCTTCTGTTGGTTATACTATTTATAAAGCATTTCCGAAAAGTGAGCCGGATTCCTTGCCCGTTGTAAAAGAAACCGCATAAGAAAATTGCACCTAGTTACTAGCTCTTACGTATGTATCTCAGGAGAATGATACCCGCATTCACCGCTAATAAGATATTTATTAATTACTGTATACAGTAGATTCTTTGACGATGAGCGAGTAATTTTGATGGCTAACTTGAGTCTGCCCGTTATTGTAATTCCTCATCAGTAATATGATTATGTTGAATAATAAATTCTTGAATAGATCATATTTACTGTTTTGTCTCTCCATTACATTATTATTATACTTTATTAAGACGGGAAGGACCACGTCTTAGAGATAACAAATATGCTTGCTATTTATAATACCAATATACTATTATTATCGCATTGGAATATCTTTGGTAGTGAATCTAACCAAAATTGTTAGAATTACAGACAAATTAGATGTAAATATGACCACCATGTTCGTGTTAGTTGCTAAACGATGTCAAACGACACATTATTCATAATACAATTAGTTGGCAAGTTGTATCTTGAACTGCAATGACGACTACTAAGAAGCGTTGAAAATAATTTTTAAAGTTATACTTGTATTAGACTTAGATATTCAAACAATAAACGTATTGAAGTAATTATTTCTTGACACTTGAAAAAGTTAACAATATATGACAAAGAATATTTACTAATCAATGTTTCAAGACAGAAACATTCTCGAATTAGTGTCCTCTATAATAGGAATGTTACTTGCGTATCAGTACGGAGCGAGTCTTTGTGGCTTGAAGCAGATGTCTTGATGACAGCTGTCTCACATTGCAAATGCATAGTAACTTTCTTCTTGAATATAGGGTTATTCTGACATATAGTGTGATAACTATGCACTTACAGGTGGAGTATAGTTTATGTCTCAGCAATGAATTTATTCGAAGTTAATACACGTACATGAGCGCTGTTAATACCCAAACGCGATACGCCTTCTCTTGGGTTTTACCTACACCTGCATCGTGATTCGTGCCAGCTGAGTGGGAAAGCTATTGATCAGCTGACCTTAGAATTTAGCTCTATACTTTAACTCACGCATAAAACTCGTCATAAAACATAAAACGCCATAAAACCAAATATTAGAACAGTTTTCTTTATTATCAATTCGAAAATTAATTCCTTCTTGTGTATCACTCGAAACGATTGATGCTATTTTCCCTTGACTGTGCAATTTACGATATATTTTTTTATTAAAAATTTATATACAACTGATTATAAAGGGACAAAAAATCCCCTTTATCAAAATTATCGTCGTATTCCTTTTTTATAATATGTGCTACATGATTCGATCGTGCATTATAACACGTGCTAAATTATGACACTAGTACTAGATCATAATTAGTCATTCTTTGTCATTATAGACATATAATCGTGGTGTACCCTCCTCTCATTCGCGTAAGTATATCTCTTCACTTATCAATCTTTTCCGCCTAAGACCATCATTTCGCGCAAACTCGATTACTTCTGCATCGGACATCATTCTATCTCGGATAAATGTCTATCTTTCTCAGTTATCGTCATAAACCTTCACCGTGATCGATGGCCCATTCTCTGAGACGTTTCTCACATTGTTCTCAGATTAGGTATCCTGGAGGGAGTAATATCTGTTGGGACGTTTTTTCTTCATTGCAAGGTTTACTGGGTTGAGAAACATCACTTATGGGGCTATTTTCTAATGGTACCACTGAAAAAGCGTGTTTCGTTATCGCTAGATTCGATTTCTTTACAGAACAGAATGCTTCATATTTGGGGTCTCTGGAGAGCCATGATCATTGCTGGCTTCAATAGTCTCAACCGACTCTATAGTATTTTCTGGTTTCTTTTCTGCCTGAGGCGATACTATTTCAGGTACGTCGAATATTGGAATATCAGTGAAACTATTAGCTAGTGACTTATCATGCGGGCGTCAGGATATTACCTATTGTTTCACGTAATTTATTCACAATTTGGGAATTTATACCCATCCTTTTTTCTCATTAAGCCGTACCCGGTGATATTGAGTCGTTTTTGCAACAAAGAATTGATTGATCGATGGGTGGTATACCTGCTATTACTACTGATAGCACACGATCCGCCAATGGAAAAATGTCGTACATAAATAAATCACATGAAAATGATGTCACACAGACTCGATATATAAATAGAAAGAAGTGTTTTTGTTTGTTTTTTTTTTTGATTTTTTAAACTTCGCGCAAAATGAATATTATAGTTGATTTATCCTCAGGCCTTCTATCAGACTATGAGAAGCTTTACAAAAGCGGCAAATATGCAGATATTTCAATTCATGTTGGAAAAGAGCCAAATGACAAGATGTTTCTCGCTCATACACTGGTATTGTGTACACGAAACTCATTCTTTGAGAATAGCTTAACCGGAAATACAGAGACGTCTAAAGAGATTCAAAAGGCCGCTATGACATTGGAAGACGTGTCACCTGATGTTTTCGAAATTCTGCTTAGGTAAACTTCATACTAATATGTTAAACCATATAAATAATGTATCAAAATATCATGCTTATTATATCAACACAAATTCTGTAGGTTTATTTATACTGGCCAAATTTTCTATGATTCATGCAAATGTGTAGGTTGGCTTAGTCTTCTAGATGGAGCTAGCAAGTTTGCATTACTTGACCTCATCATTGCAATTGAAGCCTATTTGATTGAGAAACAAAAGGAATGGATTCATCAGAATATTATCACAGTCCATAAGTATGCTCTCTCTATTACTATGGCTCCTTTGAACGGGCTTCTGGGTTATTGCAATCGAATTATGGTTTCACACCCAAATATTGTGCTTAAATCAAATGATTTTGCAACTTTACCAAAGGAGACCTTGATCAATCTTCTCAAGAGTGATGACCTCAACATGGAAGAAAATGATATTTGGATGTCAGTTGTGCAATGGGCCACTAAGCAAGTGCCTGAACTAGAACTTGGAAATGATGTAGACAATTGGTCATCCCGTGATGTCAACACAGTGAAAGACATTGTGGCAGATTGTATACCTCACATCAGATTCTTCAATATGTCCCCTGAAAAGTTTTTTCTATTTGATGATTTATTGCCAAGAAAATTGCGTCGCGATATACTTAATTATCAAACAAAAAAAGATTATATTCCAAACACTACAATGTTATTACCAAGAACGGGACAAAGGTGTAATATTGATTTAGTGACCATTAATAAACAAAGGCAATACAATCTTGGTCTCTGCTATGAAAATGGAATTAGAGTTGATAAAGATGTCAAAAAGGCAGTTGAATTCTGTCAAAAAGCTGCTGAACAAGGAAATGCTGATGCACAGAACCATCTTGGGTATTGCTATAAACTTGGAATTGGAGTGGGTAAAGATGCTAAGAAGGCAGTTGAATTATTTCAAAAGGCAACTGAACAAGGACATGCTGCTGCACAGAATGAACTTGGTCTATGCTATAAAAGTGGAATTGGAGTAGAGAAAGATACTAAGAAGGCAGTTGAATTGTATCAAAAAGCTGCTGAACAAGGATATGCTGATGCACAGAATGAACTTGGTCTATGCTATGGAAGTGGAATTGGAGTAGATAAAGATGCTAAGAAGGCAGTTGAATTATTTCAAAAGGCAACTGAACAAGGACATGCTGCTGCACAGAATAATCTTGGTATTTGCTATGAAAATGGAATTGGAGTAGATGAAGATACTAAGAAGGCAGTTGAATTGTATCAAAAAGCTGCTGAACAAGGAAATGCTGATGCACAGAATGAACTTGGTCTATGCTATAAAAGTGGAATTGGAGTAGAGAAAGATGCTGAGAAGGCAGTTGAATTGTATCAAAAAGCTGCTGAACAAGGACATACTTATGCACAGAATAATCTTGGGTATTGCTACAGACATGGAATTGGAGTAGATAAAGATGCTAAGAAGGCAGTTGAATTGTATCAAAAAGCAGCTGAACAAGGAGATGCTACTGCACAACATAATCTTGGTGCTTGTTATGAAGATGGGATTGGAGTAGAGAAAGATGTTGAAAAGGCAGTTAAATTATATCAAAAAGCAGCTGAACAAGGAGATGCTGATGCACAGAATAAACTTAATTATTTCTATGAAAATGGAATTGGTAGGAAAAAGATGTAAAGCAGTCAATAAGAACATGTGATTAGCAGTGTTACATTGAAAATTATTATGGTAATATAAGTATTAGTATAAGAGGAATTATTAAATATCATATGAATAACAGTCTGGTAACAGTATAGTAATGCAATATACTGTATGGCATAATAATAACACAACAGTGTTAGCATCAGTTATTGAATACAGTACAACACATATTAATATGATATTAATATTAATAATTAATATATTTCTGTAACTCTTACATTCTTTTTGCATAACTTGGAACACAATTGGCTAAATATCAATTTTTATGTGTATTGACAGAGTAAGAGAATAAAAATAACTAATTTACATATTTTGACGGGTTATCCATTGCAGGAACAAAACTCCTCACTTTAATTTTCATACACTAAAGATGTAAATAGTTCCATCAGAATTTTTTTTTATTTCTATAATGAAGCCCTTCTTGTTCTGTGAATTTTCCATAAATTGAAAAGCAAATGATCATAGAACGTGATATGGATTGATACCATGTGCATTCATTATTGTCAAGTATAATACCAATTTCGTTCTAATTTGACTAACCACCCAAAGTAAAAGGGCACGTAGAGATAGATTTTTATGCAAATCGATTAGAAACATGTGGAGATATGGATTTTTGAAGTTTATGCAACATACAGCTTTTGATATGTTTTCATATGTTTTAGAGACAAATATTGGGTCGAGCCAAATGTCACGGGAGAGCGGAAGAACACGTGACTCGTAAGGATTTACCGTAGAGCGCTGACTAAAGGACCCGGGGGTACTTTACAAATCCTGTAATAAGGGGGGGTACTTTACTCGGGGGGTACTATGGACAGAGTATTATGTATCCGT